AGAAGTAACCAAAACCCTTTGGAACAGTCCAGAAAATTGTAAGTCAGCCTCAGATGTTGTATATGTTGTTATTTACATTGTTGGGGTTTGGTTTTGCTTTGATATGATTGTGAACATGCCCTGATTCTTCCTTCTTGAAGTAAGTTGAAAGATTTTGGACTTTTAAAAGACAATTTGAATTTCTACAGAGACAGGATATTTTAAAGGAACTAAATTTTTAATGTTTGAATTTGTAAACATCGTGGGACTTTTAAAACCATTTATGTTTATAATATGAGATTTTGGGATGAATGAGAAAGGAAAGTTTTCAGCTTTATGGTGATAAGTTTGAGTGTCAAACTGACAAGGGGTCAATTGTCCTGAATATTTTTATATCAACTGACACAAGCTACAGTCATCTGAAATGATGATTTCAATTAAGAAAATGCCTCTAATGGTTGAATCTTTCTCAGAAGGAGAAATAAAATATGTATCAGAGGTGGATGGAGGGAGGGAACTGGATAGGAGAGGGGTTGGGGCGGGGAATGGGGCAGACATGGTTGGGATCAGGTGTAGGGAGAGTAGAGGAGAGAGAAGGAACATCAGCAGTTGGGGGAGGACAATATCTAGGATGTGCCAGAGATCTGGAATGGGTGAAGCCTGTGGGGACTGAGACTCCTAGCAGTGGGAGATATGGATCCTGAAGTGGCCACTTCCTGTAACCAGGGACTCCTGGTGAAGGGTTTAAGGACAGCAACCCATCCACAAAACCTTCAACCCAAAACATGTCAAGCCTACAAGATGTGCAAGAACAAAGATCAGAGAGGGAAGGAGTGGCCAAGCAATGACTACCACAAATTGAGACCTATCCCACAGACAAGAACCAGTCCCTGACGCTAGTAATGATACTCTGTACACTGTAGACAGGATCCTAGCATAATTGTCCTTTGAGAAGCTCCACCCAGAAGCCAATGGAAAGAGATGCAGATACCCACAGCCAAACGTTAGATGGAGCTCAGGGAATCTTGTGGAAGAGTTAAGGGAAGAATTGAGGAATCCAAAGGGGACAGGGACTCCACAGAAAAACTAACTAACCCAGACCCTTGGAGGCTCCCACAGACTGAACCACCAACCAAAGAGCATACAAGGGCTGAACCTAGGCCCCCTGCACGGATGTAGCAGATGAGCATCTTGGTCATCATGCATGTCCCCCAACAGCAGGAGGGGGGCTGTCTGCCTGCCTGTGGATCCTATTTCTCTAAATGGGCAACCTTGTCTGGCCTCAGTGGGAGAGGATGAGCCTAGTCCTGCAGCAATTTGATGTGCAGTAGGAGGAGGCTCCCCTTCTCAAAGGAGATGGGAAGGGAGGAATGGGAGGAGGATCTGCATGAAGGGGGTGCTGGGAGGAAGGGGGTTTATATTGGGACATAAAGTGAGTAAATAAATTTGATAAAAAGAAAAACGAAAATGCCTCCTTAAGACTTGGTGGTGGACAAGTGTGTAGGGCATTTCTTAATTAGTGATTGGTGGGTGAGAGTCCTGCCCATTGTAGGTGATGCCATCCTTAGGCTTCTGGTCCTGGGTTCTATAAGAAAGTAGGAAGAGCAAGCCATAGGGAACAAACCAGTAAGCGGCACTCCTCCATGGCCTCTACATCAGCTCCAGCGTCTAGGTTCCCACCATATTTGAATTCCTTCCCTGGCCTCTTCATTGATGGGCTGTAATATGTGGAAGTGTAAGCCTCTCCAAGTTGCTTTTGGTCATGGCGTTTCATCACAGCAGTAGTGACCTTAAGGAAGACACAATGTGAGAAGGGAATTAGGAAAAGATACAGGGAGAGGATGAGAGGGAAGGCCAAAAAGAGATGATGAGAAAGGGGTCTGAGGAGAGGCTGAGAGAAGATGTGAAGGCAGCCTGTGAGGAGAGGGTGCATGGAAAGACTGTGACGGAAGAAGAGGAAAACGCACAGAGACGATGCGAGGAGGGATCGTGAGGAGTTATGAGGAGATGTGAGGAGAGGCTATAGGGGTACACATGAGGTGAAGGGTGCTTTAAGAGATCCAGCTAGTCTTTGCTTTTGTACACTAAAGTACTGTCCACACATGGATATAATTTTTACTCATCGCTATAGTTTGATAAAGATGAAAGGAAACAAAAAAGTTGCAGCCTGTAGTTCTGGGGGAAAGTTGTAGTTTTTAACATTTACTCTGCTGCCTTCATAGGAGTGATTTTTTTTTTTTAAGGAGAATCCTAATATTCTTTAGACACTCTGATTTGACCTCCAGATGCCATTGAAATGTGTTTACATATGTGTGATAAGACTTCTGGGGAGACACAACACACATGTCTACTCACTGAGTGAGGGAGTGGATGACAGTCCTAAGTAGGGATAGCATCAAAATCCAACTTGGATTATTGGGGTTACTTGCAGGAGCAGAAATGACTCAAAGACAGCAGCACCACCAAACCTCACCCCAGCATGGGTGACAGCTCATGATCTGGGAACCTGAATCACACAACACAGCCTGCAGGTAGCTTACCTGGCTGGTGCCTCAGTTGGCCTCAGAGTTCTCTTTCCATGTTGGCTTTTACTGTTTACTTCAACAGGGAGGATCCTGGTGACTCTGTTCAATTTCAGGGATTGTGGGTTTGGGGGTGTTATATCCTGTATGAGACTCTTTATTCACCCTTTTAAAATAAGATGTATTTTGGTCACATTTCAAGGACAAGCACCCTGGTACCTCAAGGATATACAAAAGTTTCCAGGTTGCAGTTGCCACTGGGGACCAGCAGAAGACATAAACCAGATGATGTCAGGTGATTCCTATCTTCTTTTTCATGTGGTACTTTTACTTGTTCTGTTTATTCTTTTACAATTTCTCATATGTGTTTCATATGTGTGTATGATGTTTTATTATAATCAAAGTACCCTATTATCCTCTCATTCCCTTACCCAGCCCCCACCAAATTTCTTTTTCCCAAGTCTACTTTCTACTTTACTTGTGTGTGGGTGGGTGTGGGTGTGTGGGTGTGTGTGGGTGGGTGTGTTCTTGTTCAGTTGGTTTCATCATCTCAGAAAAGTACGAGTGTTAAAGGGGTTGGTTTTAATAAGTTTTTCTGTCACACTTTCTTTTAAAATTAATGTATTTATTTTTTTTACATCTAGATTGAAGCTTCCCTTCCCTCCTCTCTTCCAGTTCCTCCCTCTCACCTCATCTCCCCCACCTCCCTCCTTTTCTCCTCAGTGAAGGGGAGGACTTCCATGGATACTCTTGACGTATCAATTTGCAGTAGGACTAAATGCATCTCCTCCTAGTGAGGCTAGACAAAGCAGCCCAGTTAGGTGAAAGGAAGCCAAAGACAGGCAACAGAGTCAGAGACAGCCCCTGTTCATGCTGTTAGGGGTCCCACATGAAGACCAAGTTGGACATCTGTTACATATGTGTAGAAGGGCTTAGTCTGTTCCATGAATGCTCTCTGGTTGGTAGTTGAGTCTCTGTGAGCCACTATTGGCCTTGGTTAGTTTCTGTAGGTTTTCTTATGGTGTCCTTGACCTCTCTGACTCCTTCAATTTTTCCCCTCCCCCTTCTACAACATCCTCCAACCTCCATCTAGTGTTTGACTGTGGGTCTCTGCATCAGTTTCCATCAACTGCTGGGTGAAGCCTCTCTCATGACAGCTATGCTAGGCTCCTGTCTGCAACTATAAGAGAATACCATTATCAGTGTCAGGGGTTGGCTTTTTCCCATGGCAGGGGTCTCAAGTGTGGCCAGTCATTAGTTGACCATTCCCTAAATTTCTGCTCCATATATATCCTTCACATCCTGTAGTTAGGACAAACTGTGGGTCTAAAGTTTTGTGTGTGGGTTGGTGTCCCCATCCCTCCATTGAAAGTCTTGCCTGGTTACAGGAGGCATCTGGAGTGGATGGAGGGAACTGAGTGGGAGAAGTGGTTAGAGGGGAAACATGGATCAAGTGTGGGAAGGATAGAAGGAGAGAGAAAGGAGACATCTCTGGGATGAACTAGAAATCTAGGACAAGAGAAACTCCCAGGAACCTATGTGGGTGACCCTAGCTAAGACTCCTAGCAATAAGGGATATGGTACCTGTCTTTTTAGGTCAGATGGACAGAATGTCCTCTATGAATGGCACCTTTTTTTCTGACCATCCAGAACACACATGCACTTGGCAGAAACGCAATACTAAACAAACACAGAATGGAGCCACTCCTATCAGAAGCTTGAGTGGGCATCAGAGCACAGAGTCCATTTATATGGTGGGTGATCAAGTCCCCAGAAAGTCATCAAGATTCACATTTCAGAAGTTAAGGCCACAGAGAACATACCCAGCTTGCATACCCTGCTTCTTCAGCTGAGAGAAGGAACATGTTCAGGTTGTAAAACTTTTTATTTTCCCGTTTTCGAAGAGAAATCTATCATGAAACGTGTAAAATTGTCTATGGGAGACCATTATTGGGCAGTGTGGCAAATAGATGTTTTTCCTAGCAAAGCCTAGTGGTGCCCTGTTCCCGTTACTTTAGTTCACATGTATAGAGCACTTATAAACTCATATTTACTATGAAGTGTTCACCTCAGGATGTTGAGTCAGGGATTTAAGAATATCAATGTCTAAGACTAAGAAAACATAAACTTAGAAAGCGGATGTGATCAATTTTGGATCTTGTTTCATCTGAAGTCACTTCATTAGGATCCTCATGCCATAAAAGATGCAGCAGCTGCCAGTGCCTTATTTATCTTTATGAGTGCTAAATTCTCAATGTTAGCTATTCCCTTCACATAGATGCGTTTGAAGAGATATGTTTCCCATTCTCTAGCCACACCTTTCTGATGAGTTGGGGACCAGGTCTGATCATCACTCCAGGCTGACTGCGTGCCTTCCTGGCTCTAAGGATAGTTCAAGGTTCTAGGACTTGTGAGGACCCACCTGAGGAAAGGCCTGGGGATGCATTCCACACTGTTCTGCTTACTATCTGATTATCTCTTCACCACTTCAACTCCAGAATGAGAACACTTGGAGCTATGGTAATAACGCTGGTGGTAGTGGGGACTGGAATTTTCCTCCCTTTCATCCTGAGAAGCAGAAACGTCTTGTGGGGTAAGTAACAAATGATACGTAATCTTTTTGTCTTGTAAAGTTGTTTTTCACATTCAACAAACCAACCATGTCACGGCAGTTGTTGAGAATCAGTTAAGACCCTTTTGTGCTTGTCAAAGAGCATAATGTAATTCTTCAGTTTAGAAGGATTAAATTATAATTCCTCCTTTAAAAGAACTGATTTTTCCATGATTATAGAATAAATCATTTCATATATATATATATATGTTTTTAAAAGTTTTGAGAATTTTTGTTTCTTTGTTATAAAATCATCTTAAATTAAATGTCTCTGATATAGATAGTTTTGGGTTTAGTTGTATGGGAAGTTATAGTAAGAAAGCTACTGAGATATCTGGGCTAACATAATCATTCTTTGCTATAAAGAAAAGGAGAAAGGAAGGGATGGGGGGGGAAAGAAAGAGAAAGAGGGAGAGAAGGGAAGGAAAGGGAAGGGAAGGAAAAGAAAGGAACCTGGGGAAAGAAGGGAAAAAAGGACAAGTGGTTACTCTGGAGCAAGCTTCCTGGTATCAGGATGCTGGGGAAGGGGCACTTGCTGCCCCCAGTCTCTTAGACACAGCTCAGTCATTGGGCCTTGGCATCCTTGTCTACACTCAGATCTGCTTCCTGCTAGGAGCTACATGCTGTTTAATTTTTCTGCCTGAAGATCATGACTGTACTGAAGTCACCCTGCTGCCTTTCCAGGCTCAGGAGCTCCTAAAGAAAGCATCCTTCCACCTTTCCTTCTGGGTATCCACACTGGCTACTCTGGGATCTGTAAATCACTCCTTCTGATGGGCATGTCACTCCCCTTCCAAGTCTGGGTGTTCAATTGACCACCACTACAGGCATTCCTGGTGAGCATTATTAACTTGGGAATTGTGTTTCCATGACGACTAAAGAAAACAAGAGGGGTGCTCATATTAAATCTTCAAGAAAACCTAAGCATACCCCTTCATACCAATTCTTCTAACATCTGGAACATGACAGGTGTTCAGCACACAGAAGGAAGTAAACCACTTTATCCTTTTGTTCAATAGCTATCAAGACCCTAGAGGAATAAAGCAAGACTGAAAAGATGGAGGTCAAGAGTCTAGTCAAGAGCTCGATATTGCACCTGTGAGCTGTTCATAAAAACATCTGCACAGTGTGGCTTTAACATTTTGAAATGATATTCTTTTCCAAAATGAGGATATGGGACATCTGTAACTCTGCCCACAGAGTGTTTTTGTTCCTTGGAACAGGGTTTCAGTGCATTGTCCCCATCAGGTTGGAAATCACCGTGCAGAACATATAGATGTTCCTGCCTCTACCTCTGCCTCCAGAATGTTGGGTTGATTTATAAATCTGTAATAGAGTCGACTCTTTTGCTTACATTTTAATAGTATATAATAATGAACAACATGACTTCTATAATGATAGTGCACTGTTGGAGTGTACTTTACTATTCATTATAAGCTGGCTTATTATCCGTCTACTCAACAAATTTCTTAAGTAGAAAATCTGCTGGTAGTGGTGCCACACATTGGTGGGCAAACATTGAAGAGGATGAAACAGGAGACTCGCAAGGCCAAGGTCAGCTTAGGCTCCACCTTTATTCTGGTATAAGTCAGTGGGGGAGGACTTGCTGGGCATGCGTGAGGCTCTAGATCTGATAATATATTTTTTTAAATCATCAAAATCACTGCTAGTGCCCTTCAAGTTCTGCGTGGGGTGATAGCACCCCTGTAATCCTGCTTGAGGCAGGAGGATCATGAGTTCAAGGCTAGCATCAGATGAATAGCAAATTTGAGTGAACTCAGCCTGGGTTTCATAAGACCCTGAAATAGAAAAACAAAAACAAGCAAAAAGTGTTTTGTGTCACAGTGGTTCAAATTCATGTTCTTTAATATAAGAATATTTATCAGTTGAAAACTAAACAACAGTACCTTTGAAACAATAAATATTCACTGGTAAAATGTATTTAAAATGCAGTTTTCATATGATTCATTTCACTACAGCCAAAATTAAATATATTTGGAAAATGACAATGCAGATGACTTTGTGGATTTGGGGGACATCAGTGACATTTTGAGAAGCAAAGCTATAGGGGACACAGCATACAACACACACACACACACACACACACACACACACACACACTTTCTATGCAAAGCCAGATGCCTCAAAGCACAGAGGAAAGAAACCTCGGCACCTGGAAATTCGGTAATAAAGTACTGCAAATGAGAAAAAGGTTTCATTTTCTCCTAAAGTATACCCACGACCATTATAAATCTAGGAAGACTTTGCTCATAGTGTCTCTTGACAACCCTCAGTAGTACATGCTCCATGAAGTACTGTGTATTCCTCTCAACAGACTGAGATGGGCTTCCAGTGTTTGTGCAAAATTAAGATCCATGTGAAATTATCTTTATGGCGAACTCAGCAGCTCGCTGTAGCTGTGAAAAGAAAATAAGATGCAAATGAACAGCGTGAGCAGGAAAGCTGCCTGCAAATCCTGAGATTGGGAAGCCAGCCTAGTGGGGGAGTTTGTTTAAAAGGAAAGCTGGCTAGCTCTGTTCCAGTTCACCAGATTTTTGAAAACAGAGATCGTCCAAACAGGATCCACACGTGGCTCTGAGTGAGTCCCAAGTGATCAGAGTCAGCCAGGGGCAGCTCGTGGGAGCCTGGGGACCTCTGTGGCTTTGGAGAGAAAGACATTGGCTTTCTTTGACTTCTTTTGGTTTGTATTTGTGAACAAGTCTAGAACTATGCAGCCAGTTTCTTTGTCCTGACATACAGCATCTTCTTGTATAATGGCTTCTTGCATTCCAGTTATGAATATGCAAGAGGTGGGATTCTAGAGGCCAGTGTGCCTCCCAGAGCAGATGGTACTTTCAGGACATACTCGTGGACAGCCAGATGATACCTCCAGGACAGGGAATAAGTCAAGTTACTTCTCTAGAATGTTGATTTCTGTTCTAGACAAACAGAAGAGACCAAGTTGAAATTCTTAGAATCATTGACCCTAGCCTCAACCACAAGTCAGAGGTAGGCTGTGCACCTACTTGCTGGATGGATCTTGAGATGCTGAAGAATGCCACAGGTCTTAGGGAAGCACTCTGTTTCCCCCTTCTGGCCAGAAAATCCATTTGCAAAGTAACTCACCACTCCCTACCAGGAAGAATGAAAAGAGAGTCCAGGTCTCTAGGCAGCCACAGACATCCAGGAACCCACATTAAAAACACAGCTGCCAGCTGCCTGGGGGGCATTCCCCATTTATCTGCCTATTTGCAGCGTGTTCCCTACTAAGTTTCCACCCCCTCACTTTCCTTTCTTTCCTTCCTTCCTTTTCTTTCTAGCCAAGTGCTCTGCTCTAGCAGTTCCCATGGGGTGCCAGCACAAAGACCAAGGTCTGCTGGCTGCCAGTTTTCTCTCTTGTTTATCCTTCCTTTGTCTGTCTAATTCATTCAACCCCAGAAAGTTCAGTGAAGATGGGCAGAAGAGAAGATTCTCTCCTCCGTCGTGAATGAATAAGACACTTCTGTTCATCCAAACCATAATTAATTAAAAATCTATCCAGTCCCACAGAGAGTTCGGAGGATCGTAGAGGAGAAGTGTTTCTGTGGGAAATTTTTAAAATAGAAAAACCTTTGGTTCAAAGATAAAATTGGAAATAATCAACCTTTCTTTAAAATTTGGAAAAAAAATATTTTGTAATATAGCAAATGGGAGCATAAGCAATACATGATCATGTCAATTTAAATATCAACTTAATATTGGTCAATAACAGGAAGTTAGTTCACTGACAGCTACTGTGCATGTGCATGCACACACACACACACACACACACACACACACATGATTTTTCTCCATAGTTAATTGTTCTATACAAGCGCTTAGCTCTCACATAATGACAAGTTTCTACTAAGTTCAGCTTCCACCTGGGTAAAAAAAAAGAAGTAAAGACTATGCGGTTCAGCCCCCTAAGATTCACAGTGCACAGGGCACACAGTGAAGAACTGATCTGTTTTGTTCTGCTGTATCTCACTCAGAGGACCTTTATTCTGCTAAGGAAGAGAGAATGCGTTGGATAATTTAAGTAGATACTTGAGGGGGGATGGAGGGAGTATACACAGGTATGTAAGGGTGTTTGTGCCCATGTACATGTGTATAGAAGCCAGAAGAGGGCATGGGTTACTATTCTATCACTCTCTGCATTATTGCCCTAAGACAGGTTCTATCACTGAACCTGAAGCCACTGGCAGCCACTAAGCTGCAGTGATCCTTCCGACCCTGTCTGTGCAGCTTCGAAGTAAAACGTGCATGCAGCCATGTCCAACTTCTCTCCTGGATGCTGGGATCTGAACGGAGGCTCTCGTGCTTGTAAAGCAAATGTTCCTGGATACACTAGTCCAATTCTTTAGTGCCAGATGATGATACATTTTAAAGTAAGGGGGAATCAAGCTCTCATAGTTAGAGCTTTGAATTAAACCTTGTCCTTGTAGTTTGTGAGGGTCTTATAGTCCATGGAAAGGAGTGGGGGTATCACTCTGTGCGGATCAGGGTCTTTGTGTTATGAGGGGAGACACAAACCCAGCAGGTCTATTAGAAAGCCACCTGACCTACAGCAAGATCAAAAGAGAAGTGAGTTGTGTGAGCCATGACTGTTCCCACTCAGCGATGGCGGTGTACAGAACTTCCCTAAAGGCATTAAGGAAGTGAAAGGGAAAGACACATTTTCAAGGGTCTCCAACTACTCTTGACTCCAGACCAGCTGTCAAAGATTCTCTTAGTCATTGTACTATTGCTGCAAAGAGAGACTGTGACCAAGGCAATGGTTATAAAAGGAAAATATTTAATAGGGGACTTGTTTTACAGTTTTAAAGGATTAGCCTAAGATCATCATGGTGGGCAGACAGGCATGGCATTGGAGCAGTAGCTGAGAGCTTTAAAATCCTGATCCACAGGCAGCAGGCAGAGAGAGAAACAGACATTCACAGATACACAGAGAGAAATAGAGACAGAAGGGAGGCAGCAGAGTGGGCCTGTTGTGGGATTTTGAAACATTCACACCCACCCTAGTGACACATCTCTTCCAACAAAGTCACACCTATCCCAACAAGGACATATCGCCTAATTCTCCCCCCCCCCCAGGAAGTTCCACCAATTGAGCCAAGCATTCAAACACATGAGACTGTAGTACCATTCTTATTCAAACCATGACAGAAGCCATGAATTCTGTCCAGGACAGAAGAAGTTCAAGTTGAAGATGAATATTTGGAGGAGAAGAGAGAAATAAAAGCCAAAAGAGGCAAATATGTCATAGAGGAGGGACGGAATAGAATTCAAGAACCAAGGCTGAGACAGATAGGGCCATAGGCAAAAGATCCAACATTCTGTGGGCCCTCTGGACTCAACAGGCCTGCCACAGAAAGTCCTACAATTTGTCTGTAAACAGAGCCAAGAAATTTACCGTGCTCACAGTAAGAGCAATCAGGATGTAGCATTCCAACTGTGGGAAAACTCTTCTCATTAGGGTTAAAGTCCACCCATGTCTGCATAGCCTCTGAGCTTGGCACTTTATGGGAGACTCCATTCATTACTGGGGTTTCTCCTTCTCTGCCCTTATTCAGGGACTTCTAACCCTCCATGACCACCTCTACCTGAGGAATGTCACACAGCCTCAATTAGTTCATAAGACCAATTTCCTTTCTTCTGACAAAACCTGTCAGCCAGCGCCTGAAATTCCTGAAATGCTTCCCCATGCTAATGAGGCATTCTAGGTACACTACACCCCCAGCCAAGGACATTTGCCCATCCTGGATGTCCCTACCCTTAGTCCCACAAAACTTTGTAAGCTTTCAATCACCCTAAGTAAAGTTGATCTGCATACTGACAGCTGGTCCCAGTGTGGTCAGTCACTGTACATACTCACAGGGTTTCTGAAGCCCCTCACTCCCACCCTACCTATGCTTGATGTCTCTGCTTCCACTAGCCTTGCGGACCAAATTGGTCAGCAATCTATGAGGGCAGGGAGATCCACACCAACATCACTCAGCAATGGCACAGTACCCTGACTCTAAAGCCTACACATACAGCCTGCCTGCTAGAGGACCAGCCACGCCCACCCAGTCTAGAGAAAGTGTTTTTCCCAGCTGGTAAATACAGGACCACAGCTGACTTCAGGAATGGAAATGAGAATTGGATATAGCAAGACAGATTCAGACAGAAACTGAGTAGACATGCTCTCCTCCACATTGGAGACTGGTGTGGTCTTGGGAACACGTGATCTTAAGTACCTCAGACCCCACAACAGCTCCCAGTCATATTGTTTCTTCTTGCATCAAAATCCAGGCAGCTGTCCCGGGCTAAATGTTGCAAATCTCTCTCACTGATACAGTTTCTGAAATATGCAGTTATTTAGTTTACTTTTACATAATTTGTTTCAATTTTACACAGAGGCTAATGTTCAGGAGAGTTCCAATAAGCTGATCATTTCTGGAGACCACAGGACTGTCATTACACCCATCGGCACTAGAGGAAGAAGGCTAAAGCTGGCAGAGGTGTGGCCCTGGGATGGAGGGGGGTCTGTTTTAATGCCCCCATGTTTTATATCCTAGGAAAGACTATGAAGTCCCGTGTTATCAGTGTTGTGGAAACGAGCCAGCTCATGGTAGACAATGCAGTCTACAATACTATGAAAAGGTGAGTGACAGTGACGGTGTTCACGATGATGTCTTTTGTGAAAGTGAGTGACAGTGTTCACCATGACGACCTTTTGCAATTGAGGCATTGAAGCTCACGTGAGATGATTCACGGTTCCAGTGCAATTGGCCACACTTGGAAAAACAATGCTCATTCTCACAGCTCTTTCCTCAGAGAAATGAAAATCAAAAGCCAGAGGGCTAAGAGTTCAAGGTGCCATGATGATAGAGTCTGAAGCTTGGACAGGAATAACATTAGGACACTTTACAGAAAAACCGGTGCTGTGCGCTCAGGCTTGGAGCCTAGCCACTATAATGCCACCAGACTACCTCAAGCATAGAACCAGAGCCTCAACCTGCTCCTAACTGCTTGCCAAAATAATTGATTTTACATACTCATTTTTAATTGAAAAATGTTTTATAATCTTATCACATGTGTTTCCTACATGCATGCCTAAGCATAATGTACATGTTTTATGCCTACAGTGGGCATAAGAAGGCATCAGATCCCCTAAAATTGGATTTACAGAAAATTATAAACCATTGAGTAGGTGCTGGGAATCTAATCTGGGTTCTCTAAAAAATAAGTCAGTGCCCTTAACTCTGAGCCGTGTCTTCAGCCCCCGACATCACACATTTAAATATGCGACAGACATCATTTCTAATGTCAGCATGGAGTCTCATTAGATGTTCCAAAAACATCAGAAACATACTAGGTTTATGTCTTCACAAACTTGTCATTTTATTGGAAGTTGGTGAAAAGTTACAACATCTCTCAAGGTACAAATTATTACCTGACATCTTCTGATTTACTTCAAATGTCTATTATTCCAAACAGAAAATTGTTTCATTATTTTACGTTACTTAGAGACAAGCTGTTATCTGACTGTTTCAAAAAATTGAAGGTGAAAGAGGAAACCATACTCTCTGAGCAGATGAAGTGACAGGAATCATCAGAGAAGAAGGAGTTTTCAGTAGTGTGGAATGCTCCTGAAGTCTTACATCCCAAGGAGTTACCCCCTGGAGCTGGGAGAGGTAGCAAGCAAAGAATGTCATCAACCTAAGTGTTTCACGATCCCAACCTCAGTACAGGGCCTTCAGCTGATGACGTAGGGACCCATGACTACACCATTTTGGGAGGAAGAAGCTTGAGGCTACACAGACATGACAGCCTCCCCTGTGATCTGCAGCCTCTGCTTCTGCAGCAGGAAATAGAGCCAAGTCTAAGAGCTGACAGATGTGGGTAAGCCCTGCTACCAGTCATGGCTGGGCCACCTAGGAAGTAGCTCCTACCAGCACATCTTGGGGACCAGTTGTACTCAGTAGCCCTTTCTGGACCTGTAGGAGTGAAGCTACAAACTCTTCTGCTCTCTCAAACCAAGAATCCTCAGCAGACCAAGGAGTTGAGATTTCCTGGCTCAAGCTTTCACTTGTGTATCTGCAGAACAAAACTGATATCCATATATTCATTATGTGGTACTATCTATCTATCTATCTATCTATCTATCTATCTATCTATCTACCTACCTACCTATCTATCTATCTATCTATCTATCTATCTATCTATCTATCTATCTCCCATTCTCCTGGCTGTTCCTCATCTCCTTCTCTCCCCCTCTGCTACTCTCTCTCCTTCCCTCCCTCCCTCTCTGTGGTTTCCATGTTCAGCCCCTCAGTGGGGTTGTGGGACACACTGCTTGGACAGGAAAAAAACAGGGAGTGTTTGACTGCATCTCCCTATACCACTGCCACTGTCAGGTACTGGGCTTTAGGGAAGCTCTGAGACCCAGTGGGAGAATGTAGTCTAAGATGTAGGAAGCCAAAGTTGGGGTTCCCTGACTCTCAGGCACACAGTTGCCACTGGTTGTTGCACAGAAGAGTCTGGAATGAAGGATTGTGGGTTCATGGTCCTGTGACAAGGCCGAGACTGTTGAGAGCCTGCAGGCTGAGAAAAATGGGAAACTTCAGTTTAGCTCATTGGCAAAAGTAGCAGCAGTTGTCTGGAAGTGTAGAGAGACCTTCTACAGGAGACTTAGGCTGTAGCTCTATAGGCAAAAGCCTTCTCTCCATGCTACCCGCAGCGGTTTTGATGAAAGAGACAACCCAGGTTTATCCATACCATATATTGAATGTTCATCATGGAAAACGGATGCATTCCCTCTTCTCAGGGTGAACCAGAGATTAAATACCTTTTTCAGGGAGGAATTTCCAGGAAGGGAAGCTTATTAACTAAACCCTCAGGGCCTCTAGGTACCTCATTAGCATGGAGAACTGTGGTCTGGGCTATGTGACCAACATTGGGAATGTGGGCATGTGTTCTAGGCCAGGAATCTGGCAGGGAGCAGGGAGGCACCTACTGTCTCAGGTGGGTACTGAGTGCTGAAGTCTCAGACTCGCTCTACCTTACCAAGTTTCCTGGCACAGTCCATTGTCCAAACACCTCCCTCCCTCCCATCCAAAATGTAGATACACTACTTTTCTTTTTCTCTGCTGAGAGGCAGTGAGTCTGGGGAAGCAGGACACTCTAGACAGCACAAAGATCAAGGATCATATCCTTACCACTTCCGGGAGCAACGAATCTCTTCCCTTCCAGCATTCTAAGTCCGTTTCTGATTCATGGTTGCCCATGGACTCCAGGATATACTCATCTAACTTATTTGTGCTCAGATCTGTGACATCATCTCAGTGTTCTGACACTGAGATATTCTAGGATCTGCCTGGCAGCAGATTGAGAAACAAAGGGCATAGGATGACTTACTGAGGACAACACTGTTGCTCTGCATTTTCCACTCCTCAAACACCCGGGGGACTAAAGAGAAATAAATCTGACATGCAGCTCTCCTGCTGGGCTTTTCACATGAGGAATGCTGAGCCAGCTAAACACAAAGTTCCCGAAATGTGGGTATATAATCAATATCCTCCTGCAGATAGAAGGACACACACCTCTCATTTAACACCCTCTCACAGCCTGCAGCTGGAGTGTAAAGAAGCCCTACAAAATGGCTGTACACCTTCACTGTGATTGGAGGGTTAACACATGGAACAGTCTGTTCTGCACTGTGATTGGAGGGTTAACAGATGGAGCCGTCTATTCTGCACCTCCCCAGTGAGAGCAGTAGATGGACAGCTGACAGGACAGTTAATAAACACCTCATCAAGCCCCTAAGATCGGAGCATAGCGCAGGTTGAGTATGGAAGGGAGGTACCTATTAGGGAGGACCAGTTCTCTTGAAGGGCTGTGTGATACCTAAGGGGACAAACAAGAGGAAGATATGGTCACTGATCCATGGTAATAGCCACTATCATCAGCAAGCTATGAGGACTACAATGTCCATTCCAGGGGTCTGGGCACCAGGATACCCAGTCTTTAGTGGCTGTCCACCTCAGGGCACTGGCACCATCGACCAGCCACCAAGGGTTCTTGGACTCATGGACAGGCAACCAGATGCTCTTCAAATGCTGATCTCTGGTGGCTTTCATTTCCCAGTTTGGCAGCAGTGAGCACCAGTCATAAGCTTGTAGAAGCAACAGTAAGTATCATCCTTTAGTGTTAGAGTCCCTGTGAGTCTCAGGTATTAGGGGCCCTAATCCCTACAAATGTCCCTACCAGGCCTGGAGTTTTAGACGTTTAGCCTTTGGCGGGGACTAGTATTACAGCCCCCAGCCTAGAGTCTGAGACCCTTGACTCTAAGGAATTGACAGCTCTATGAGAATAGTCCAGCAGCCCGGGCCTAGAGGTTCTCCTATCTGACATCTTAGTCTGCCCTTCCTTTGACTCAGCTCTCCACTTGCTTATCACCTTTTCATCATTCCTTCTGATTTCTTCTTCCTGCCAAGCTACTCTCAAACTGTTCAGCTGCTTCCTTGGCAACCAGGCTCCTGGCTACTCAACCCCTCCTCAATACTAGTGCCAATTGCAGTCGAGGCTTGTGTTTTGGACCCATTGTGGCTTTGCCCCAGTGTCAGTCTAATGAGATAGAGATGAGCCCCTCCAATGAGATAGAAAATGTTCAGCAAGCTTATGGCAGCAAACAGCCTGGGATGGACCGCCTTGAGGTGGGGTGATTAGCAAAGCTTCGGACTTTGGTAAGGTGTCTGTGGTGTATTCAGGCTGTTAAACAGTCTTTTTTCCTCAAGGCAGCTAGAGCAGCAAAGGAGAGGTCATCAACCACTGAGTAGGAAGACAAATCACCTGCACCCAAAATATTTACCTGTTTACAAAGAGGAACATCAGAAGGAGTACTCACAATACACACATGAAAACCTCACATTTTCCCTGTTGGCAACATCCCCTGCCTAAGTATACTTTAGATAAATAGATCTTTAGGGGCCCTGCTTCTGTCTACCATTGGCTCTTCAGGAAGATATAGCCCTGCTAGTGGTAAGAGACAACCACCTCTAACTCTGAACTGGGGTCTCCTGCCCTCTGCCAGTTCTCATGAATCATTGATCAGTTCATGATGTCATTAACAACTGGATTAACCCATCTCCTCAAGGCTCAGGATGTCATTGGATCTTTTACTAATATGTGGGCATGTAAAGAATAGGACTATTTAATATGTCACATTTTATATCATGGACATTAGTGAACAGAGTCACTCATTTCCAGTCTATGTGAGTTAGGTGCGTTTGCATCTTGCCGCTATCACTCATGCCTACCTTGCAAAAGCTAAGCGACTTACATGAGTTAAGTGCTAAATTACTCATCTACATCATTGTCAATTATAGTATGTCTTGTGGTTATTAAGTTTCCTTTGTATTGTATATCTTGGGGTATGCAGCATGCTGTTTGGATAGACACACGGATATAGAAAGGATCACAACAGATACTGTCTACCACCTGAAGTAACTGGTTTTGTTCTGTGGTAAGAGCAGGTAGGATCTCATCATGATTTCAGACTACAGTATCACGTAACTGCCATGAAGTACCTCAGATATGACTTTTGCTTAGAGAGCAGCATGTATTTTAGGCTATTACTAAGACATGGATAATACAGCATTCCATTTATCCACAGTAGGACAAAACTGAAAAGAGGGTTGCTTCCCCAAAGTCGCAGTGATGTAAACCTGGGTTCATCTGGGAAAGTTGAGAGCAGGAAAGGGATATTTGTGACAGCTTCAGGGCTCTGCTTGGCCTCAGACCCTCAGAGGTCAGAATCTGGAAGATTTGTGATCCTCCCTGCTCCAGCTGAGACTCTGCCCTACAGTGACCATCTTCCTGGCCCAGGTTATGGTGAGAACCAAAAAACTGTTAAAGAGAATCTAGGTCATTGAGAGATGGATTTTTTTTTTAAAAGAGGAAATATTGGTCATATTTTTCCACGCCCAATATTGCTACTCTCTAGTTGTTTTCTATCCCTTTTACTGACCCCAGCACTTCTGTGGCTAAGAACTATCTAGGCTTTTTCTTTGTGTGGCCCACAGTTCATTGCATGGTATGTGCAGTCACTTAATAAATGTTCTGTTGGTTTATTTATTGTGTATGTATGCATATGTGGTATATGTGTTACTGATAGGAGGAGGCTGTATGGGAGAAATGTGCGTTGGCAGATTCATATGTGCATGCATGAAGATGCCAGAAGCCAACTTTGAGAGCTATACACTTTGTATTCTGAGACTTGATCTCTCATTGGAACCTGGGGCTCACTAGCGAGGCTATGCTGGAAGGTACCAAAGAAATCTACCTGTCTCTATCTCCACAGCAGTGAGCTTACAGGAACTTATCACTATGTCAAGAATTTTCTGGAGATAAAATATAAGTACTTACAACTTGTTCATCAAGTTCATTTGTAAACTGAGCTGTCTCTCGATCCCCATTTAACTTCTGATTCCTTATGCTCTAGAAACCTCAAGAAAAGGGAAGTCCTTTCTCCAGCCCAGCTTCTCTCCTTCTCTAAGCTGCCAGAGTCTACCAGTGGGGCTATTTCCCTAGCAGCAGAGATCATGGAAACATCAATACAAGTCATGAAACGTGAACAGTCACAGTTCTCCACGGGTAAGCAGCCGCATTCCTCTGCCTCTGGTTAAATCCATTCATAGTTTTATTTCTGTTATTCTGGGAAATACAGTTTCTCTCCTATTCAAATCTTATTTGGAGAAACAGCTCAACATGCTCAAATTTATGTTCTGAAATACACTGGGAATTTTCCTGTAGCCTTCTCACCTAGTGAAACTTGTTATCATAAGGGCTTTCTGGGGAAACATTCATTCAGGTTGTGTCATGTCACAGCAAGCAGAGGACTGGACAGGAGCCTCAACTTCCCAGTTTGTAGCCAGGACCTTCTGACTTAGTCTGTTACCCAAGGAATGTAACAATCCACAGGCTTTCAAAACTGAGACTGGTCTGCAGTCTCTGGCAGCTCACATGGTGGCCCCAGTAGAGTACATTTGAAGAAAGCAGAAGCCAGATTAAGCCTCTATGGACTATGGCGCCACACTCAAAAATGAGCTTCCTTTTTAACAACCTCAGTGAGATTCCTTTTCAGTGCACTGTGGTGAGCTATTTGATTTCTTAAATTAATCTGGTGCTTCTTTGCCTGATGAGATGAACTCATTTTAAACCAGTATTAACCACAATTCTCAGATCCTACACTGAACAGTTAAGTTCGACTTTTACAGCAACCATAAAGTCACTCTGAAAAAGGTTTCATTTCAGACCACATAGCTGAAAGTCCCTTCTACGTACACTGGTCCCTATCCAGTAGTGACATCAGCTCAGGCAGTGGTAGAAGTGATGGGAGGGTGACCTGTCCCGAGGATGGGAGCCTACTGGCCCCTGCTTTCGTGTCACAAGGCTCTCAGCCCAGGGAGAATACATTGCAAAGACAGGCCATAATGTGAAATTGATAATGTAAAATACCCTAAAGGATATGATAAAGTTGTTTACATTACAGACTCAATCACTCGGCAGCATTTAAGATAAAAGGAAGGTGAGTCAATTCAGATAGACTTCCTGCCGTCCCTGCATAAACAATCAGCAAGTGCACTGGGTAGAGATGCCAGGTTGTTCCTGAACATTGGCTTGTTCACCAGCAAAAGTCCAGTCACATGAGTCTCTTTACAGGACTTGATGTGCTGTGCTCTAGCAAACAAAGAACACACGACCATCACACAGCTGAACCGTCGTCAGGTTCCTCAGTGAGATGCTCTGTTGAGATGCTTGCTCCATTTCTCTTCTATTTGAAAACAGGATACCTTCCTGTTGGTTATGTTTTCTAGTGAGAATCTCAATTTCATTAGTATACATTCATCACAGTTTTATAGGGTCGTCTTAAGGCTTCCTTAACCTTGATTTGTTGAACAGCATAAACAGTGACAGAACTGGAAAGAAAAACAGTAAATATAAACAAAAGAGACTGCATTCAGAGGTGCTAACCTAGAGAAATCAATAGGCGGAAAAATAAAGGCTTTTTATAGCAGAAGGAATGAATGCTATTAGCCAGCTCAGCCAAGGTGGGTTTCTACGGGTTACACATCCTGTCTCATTGCTCTCCTGCATAGTGGTGAGGTGGGAATGTTTTGTTGTGCAGATGTAACAGGTTGTTTCCGGTGATGTGTCCTGTGAGATGGGAGATAACTCTAAGTAAGCTGATGGCTTGTCTTCCTAGAGCAGAATGGCTCTTAGGTCGCTTCTCAGAACCATCATGAAGCAAACAAGTAAACAACCACCTTACCACCACCACCACCCTACACACACACTCCTAGCAGAGTGCACAGGAAGCCCTGACTTAGATGATGAGGCTATGGTTGATAGAACTGTTGGAAAGATACTTCATCTGGTACAGATGTCACACAAAGTCTGGTCTGTAGAGAAAATATCTTGTGTATTATGGATGTATCATCTGTCAATTAAAAAGCCTATGGCTTACGGTGTAGGCAGGAAATGGGAGGTGGGACATTCAGGAAGCGAAAGATTCTGGGATAGAGCCAAGCATGAGAATATCAGCCTAGGAAGATATGAGGAGCTAGACACTTGGTACCTGAGCATAGATAACCAGCCACATAGCAGAATGTAGGTTAAAATAAATGAGATATTTTAAACTCATTCTAGTCAGAGAAGAGCCTAGCTATATGGCCAAGGTGTTTTGAGTCTGAGTCTTATTCCTGGGAGCATGGGGCTGGGAAGAAGAACCAACTGGCCTTAACTTCAATATTGGTCTGTATTGTTATGCAGATGCCCTATCAGAAGACATTCTGGGCACAATTGCAAACCTGTCAGGATGCTTGCCTTTCATGCTGCCACCAAAATGTCCTGACACCTGCCTGGCAAATAAGTACCGGCCCATCACAGGGGCGTGCAACAACAGGTACTGTGTGAAGACGTGCTATTCATCAAGCCTCTCAAGACTTGATCATGATCACAAGCCATTGTGAAGTAGGCTCTAGGTCCATGAACTGTGACAGTCCACCCCTCTGTGTGTCCCGTTATCTCACACTCCAACTATTTGCCATTGCTATCCTCACGGTGTACTACACTCCAGATAGAAGTGGCAGAAGAGAGCTTTTTTGCTCTGTCTCACCCTTATTTTCTAAAATCACAGAATGGCTTACCATCGCCTAATATCCCAAGCCAGATACTAACCATCTTTGATTTCTCCAAATTTCTTACCTGTCTCTAGTATGTTACCAGGACAATCTGCTTCCTCCCACCAACCTAACTGAAGGAAGAATTGGACCATTTGCCACAAGACATCAGCCCCTGTGGCATGTAGCTCTTGCTTCCCTTTATGTATGTGCCACTTAGACACAAACCATCCCAATGCCCCCTCCTCTTTGTTAGGGGTTGGTCTGGTGCTGCTTGTATTCATATGCTAAATTCTATACCCAAAGATCTGGTTGCCCCTAGACAGAGCAATTTCATATGCACGAGCCTTTGTTGTGCGAATCTTGCTCCCTAATTTAAAACTATTGGTTAAACAAAACTGGCAGCAGCCAGTTACTGCAGGGAATTGAGAGTGGTACAGTTTGAGTCATTAGGCTAGGGGTTGCGCATAGGGACCACTAGGAGAAGGAGAAAGGAGAAAGAGAGAGAAGGAGTACAGAAGAGGGAAGACTGGGAGAACTGGAGGTCGCCATTAGCCATGATGGACCCAAGTGGAATGCCTCCCCAGGACACAAGTCTGCTGGAGCAGAAATAACCCAGGAAGATGTAAACAGCAAGTATTTGGGGAGCACAGTTGGGAAAGGAGCCAGTCTAGTGTTAAGAGAATTAGATTGAGGTAATTCCCAAGCAATTACGCAGAACCTAACAAATGAATCATAGTTTGGGTCTCATTCATTTGAAGCTAAATGATGATAAGCTTAGTTCCTATTAATTTATACCTCTTGTCCTCACTTAGATTCAGAGCAAGGTCCTAGCTCAGTCTGTTCTTGGGGTGGCATCCCACCTAGTCCAGCCAGCCAGTTATATCAATGCTTTGACTACTTCCTTCATGTTTCTCCATTTTAACCCTTCCCTTTACCCTCTCCCAGTCTTGTACCTATATACTGAGGGATGCATAACCCTGCCTTGATTCTACACAAATGCTGCATATCAAGGCTGGGTAGAGCTAAATGAGCATCCAAGACGTTTGTGTGGAGTGGTATTGGGTAAGGGATACTATCAGTGGGAAGCAAGCCCCTTAAAGGAGACACTGCGTACACTCTGACAAATCTCTTTTTGGGTTCTTTCTGCTCAGCTGCCAGTAGATTCCAGCTCATTCTTGGGTTCTTCCAACCATCAGAATGGACTGCTGTTAGGTAGTTTCCACATGTGCTAGATGGTCTTGCTTCCCCGGCTTGATTTTCTATGTTCAAGGTATATGTGACTACATTTCACACTACTGCTTACCTTTTCAGCTGGGCAGGTCCCTCTTACCAGAACTCTGGCTACCTCTATCAGAGTCTGCTTCTGCAGTCACTATGTAGTTTCAGATCAAGCTGCTTCTTTTATCTTGATTTTGGCACATCTACCCTGAGTTTAGCAGTGTGCCTCTCAGCTCCCAGGTCACCACTTACCCATGCAATAGCAGGATGCTTCCTTCTGGGCCATTCCCTCCAGATTCCCAATGAACCTCAGCTTCAGGCACACTTCAGCCACTATCTCCAGAGCTGGTCTTGTGTCTTTCTGCTCTATATCCAACCCTGGTCACAGTTCTACAGCCTTGTCTGTCTTTCTCCAGCCCAGAGTTCTCACAGTGTACATATGAGGGATCTCTCTGGAATTCCCACTAGCCTTGGCAAGAATGTCATGATCTTGCCCCCCGAAACTTCACCTGGTACATCCCCTCATTTTCCAGCTCTTGTTAGAAAGCCAGCCAAGCAGCATCCACTGTTCAGTGTTTTCTTTCATGACCATGGGTACAATGTGAGCAGCTGCTTCGTGATCCTGTCCCACTGACTTCTCCACAGTGATATAGCTCAGACCTGTACATCAGAATAAACCCTCCCTTCCTTCAGTTTTTGTCAGGGTATTTTACCATCACAGCAGGAAAAGAAACTAAGGCAACCTCAGGATCCCCTGCTAAAAGAATAGTCTCACACGTAATTAAGACGGGTCTTCCCATATCAATATAGGCATGCACAGAAATCTATCAGATGATGCTAAATTCTATCAGGTTGATGATCAACACTAACTGTCAGAATGGGCTTCTTAATCCATCATCTGACCCATAGGCTCTTCATTTGGTAATTTCTGTGACATCTGTAGTGGGCACTAAGGAGAGCTTTATGTGTTTACATACATGATGTTCAGTGTATTTAAAAAAATGATTGTTTACATGCTGAATTGTATTAGTACCTTATCCTGAACCAAGGAGCCTCATGTATATGATAGTTTATTGCTGAACTCTGGTAATTATTGGAAGGGGAGTTCATACAACTGATCCCAGAGGTCATAACCCTACTAGAAAAACAGAATCCAACAGAAACAAAGACCTCTGTCACATGTTAGAAGCCAGTGTGGATCATAGTAGCAAAGAATAGCCACCTGGACAGTGGCTTTTCCATTCAAGGAGTTAAGGTCTGGTGGCTGTGAGGAATGGGAGAAAGCAGAGTTCTCTCCCCAGTCACCATCACCTGTAAACATGACTTTGTTGGGAGTCTAATTTTGATTTGTCAGTAGGTTCTTGCTAATCTGTTTCCTGCCCCACTGTTGTCGCTCCCTCTTCCTTCCAGCTGAACCACTGGGAGCATCAACCACTCCCTTGGGAGAGCTGCTTTGGTTATAGCCACGTGACTACAGGAGCAATTTCTGTCCCTGGCCACTGTTTCCTTTTCTGAAAATACAGCCCTGAAGTACTACTTACCAGGGAGTTTATACCACAAACCTGTATCCTAAGGAACTGAAAACTGTACCAAGTGCAGGAATTCTAAGTCAAAAAGGCTGGGCCCACCCTCAAGCAACTTCCCTGTGAGTAGATGTTAGAGACTCAGAACTGCCTACTTAGAAGGATCCTGAGACTAAAAAGATGGATAAATTCTTAGCCCTTCGATCCAACAGTTGGCTTTGAGAACTGTTTCTCAGACCTGGGTGTGTTCTAGCCACCCATGTAGGCTTTTCTCTCATCCTTGCTGTCCTCTTACTATTGAGGTTTTCCCTGTATGGCAGTTTATTAGCAGGAGCCTTAGTTTTATTCATGAAGCCCTAAAGAAGCGATGACAGTTTTTGATGTCCAGGATTTATAGAACCATATCTGTTTCCTATACTCAACCCCATGTAGCTCAGAACCTACCAGTGGAAAGCATGGATGTTCTTTCATCTTTTTAAAACAGTCTCTATGAAAGATTCCAGTAAAAGGAAAGCAAGCTACCTAAGATCCAACTGAATACTGAAGCCTTGGATGTACTTCAATGGGCAGGGGGCTCACACTGAAGGGTAGAGAAAAGGCCATAGCAGAACAGGTAAAGATGGTGAGCAGAGTGTATGAACATCCTGCTCATACATGCTTGGCACTGTGGAGGGATCACAAGTATGAGATGGTTCAGATCATTGTCCTCAAGACTTAAACATAGTACTGATTGAAACAGATAAATCGTGTTACAAGTACTGTGTTAAACAAGTGCCTCCCAGAACACAGAGAGGCATGAAAGACCCCACATAGTTGAAGTGAGGCCAGCCCTTCTAACTGAAATAGATTAAACAAAACCCCATGTTCATGAGAGCTTGGCTGGCTTTCTTTGCTTTATATAGTCCATGACCCTCTGGCTAAGGGAGTGGTTCACTCAGTAGTTCCTAGGAAGAAACATGTCTAGCTACCTCAAAAGGCAGTCTTCTAAGTAAGAAGCTAAATAGAAAAGAAGGGGAATGGGAAGGAACAGCAAGAGTGAGACCAAGAGCCCTCCCCTGAAGGTAGTTGCAGATATGTATAGTATTTCTTAAGAGGACAGCCTGGGATCCAAAGCTTGGCCTTTGATGAGCAAGTATGACCCTTCCAATAAGCATGGTACCAGATGAGTACAGGACAGGGCAGAGCATATATCCCAATCCTGTGAGGTCATGGCCAAGGCCTCTGGAAAAGAACACAGATAAGAATGTGACTTGTCCTACCAATCATATGTGTCTTCTAGAGCTCAGTGACAATTACTATGACTGTCACCATGAAGTGGCTCTCCTACATCTAACTTCTTTGCTCTTGGCCCCAGACGTAAGCTTTAAAATATCCCAGTGTAACTCAGCATGCTTTTCCAAGGAGGGCAGTTCTGGAAGGGTCCCACAGTAAGCAGGTGACAAGACTGTTCTCAGGGTATTCCTGAATCTCAGAGTTAACGCAGGCTTTTCAGCCTGTGGAAAGTCTGTGGGGAGCCTGATAACCTAGGCCTTCCTGGTCTTATTACTCCCTCACCAGAGTTGACTTGAGAGTTTAACCTTTGCCTACACAACTGTGCCTCCCACTCAAAGACAGACATGTGCCATGGTCTGCAGAGGGCAAACCCTTCTAAGGCCCAGCATATCAGCCTCCCTGCAGGCCAATCTGTACTCACTCTTCTACTTGAGGGACATTTGTGCTTAATTGAATCTAGAGACATAGAAATAATTCTTAGGGGAAATGACAGACTCTGAAACAAAAAGTTGATTGTTGTGTTTCTGTTTCCAGAAGAACACCCAACTCCATCTGCACACAGAATTTAGTACATTATAGTGGTTTCTATAGTCATTCCCTGATAATTAAATGAAACTTAGAGTTTGGTTTCCAAACACATTGTGAAATAATCTAATTCCTGATAACTAACAGTTTCAATTAAGACCATTCCAGAAGGACTAGCTAGCAACAGGTGTGATGCTCTGGGGAGGCCTGATGATTTCTGGTGCCTACATACACAGTAAGTC